TTTTATGGCTCCATGTGTCAGTGTTGCCTCTGAGAAGGCAGCAGCATACCAAATCCGGGGAGCAGAGCTGGTTTTGTGTTTGATCAAGTGTAATTTTTTTCTCACCACAGTGCATGATAATTCCTAATGGCTGAATGAGAGTTTTTAACAGCAGCAAATTTAAAAATAAAGAATGGACCTGTACTGGAGGCAGCAAGGATGTTATTGTGTAAGCTTTGGGTACTTCTTTCTATTTTGTGGTAAGTTGGAAAGTGATACTGAGAGTTCTAGAAAAATGTTTACTTTGAACGTTGTTCTTAAATCATCCATATGCACCTTTCAATATGGCTTTACAGCTTGATTCTTACTATATTGGATCTGCATACGAAAAATCATTTGAATGTATTCTGTGAGTAACAAAGCCATGTACTTTGTTGCTGGTTTCTTTGTTACTGGATGTGGAGGGAGAGAAAGCAATATAAAAATTGATTTCTAACCAAATCTACCAACAGCAATTTAATAACTTTAAGAAAACCCAACCCAAAACAAAACAACACACAAAAAATACTCGAAGATATCAACAATGTTTTGTTACAGGCTTGACTTTTGGGAAAGCTATCTGTTGTGGCCAGTTAACAGTGTTTTCAATGATGAAATGATGATTAGGAACTGTAAAAACATGCCTCAAGATTTTCTGAAAGATGATTCTCTGTACAAGTAGGGCAGACATACTTCATGTCTGACAAATAGAGCAGCTGCCAGCTGTGGTCACTGTGGTATTTATACTGGATGATAAACATGGATTCATTAAAAAATCTCAGTGCTTTCCATATTGGCAACGAAATGAATTCTTAGCAATGCATAGAAAGATCTTCAGTCTGTAAAGGGTTAATTCTGTGGGAATTGAAGTGATTTTTTGCAGAGTTATGTTCTGTCATCCTCTCATAAACCAAGCATTATCTAGAAGCAGTGGGAAAAGGCTGGTTTACTACTGGCAGGCATTTATAGCACATTCACTGAAGTAGTCCTCAACTGAGTTAATGTAGAGCTGTTTTCAGCTCACTATCACTTTGCATCTTGCTGTTTCAGTTCATTCTGTGTTAAGAGTATTTAGGCTGCACAGCTGTTATACAGATAGATTTATTATGGAAGACAATTCCTTGTGTGGTATTCAAAAGCTATATTAAGTTGTGAGCATATCATACTTAAACAAGTGATTGCAAGAGGAAAAATTTTTTACTAAATGCCTATTAATGTTTGAATTGGTACAGAATGTGTCAAGGCTATAAGTTCATGAAGTTAGGAAGTGCTTGCGGTTAAGAATGCTTAGTGGTATTTTCTTGGTTGGATGTCTTTTAACTCATAGTCCTTGGGCTTTTAAGCCTGTTAGGAAGCGATTCCATATGCAACGAATTCAGTTCTTTTTAAATGTCCATTCTTTAGTTCAAATCTGGTTAGAAGACAAAACTCTGGGATATTGAGGCACTGGGTAGGCAAGGCTTAGAGGTTGCTTCTAAAATGACAGCATATAACTTCTGAAACGTGTGAGTTAGGAAGTATGTAATAAAGGTGATGAAGGAGCTGATGAGTCGCAGTAGGAAGCTGTACTGCACAAGGCTGATGGGAAGTGCTGGGGCTGGGAAAACTGGCCAAAGTTGCTTTAATCTCATGAATATTTTGTGAAAATAAGATCTGAAGAGGAAATAAATCTCATTTGGGCATTACTTTACATTCTTAGCTGGCATGTCTGCGCACTACCTTTCAGCCATGCTTACACAAACCTGTGCAAAGGAAAACATTCAGTGAGGATTTTGTCATTTAATAGCATTTTTGCATAACCCTCTTGCAATTAATGTCAGCTGCTGTAGTGACTTTCCTCATGTCCCTTTAATGCTAGTCATTAGTGTTTCTGAATTTCCGGCTATAATAAAGATACTGTTGCTATCTGTATAGTGAGCACTTGACTAAGACAAGAGGTGGAGAAGCTGTGATTGGACAGAGGTTAGATTATGCTCCGCATCAAATCTTGTGGGGTAAACCTGCAAGACGTTTTAGGGTCTACTTTGGCTTTCAGTGTCACCGGATTGTTTGTGTCCATATAAACAGAGATACCCTGGTAAATTTGGTTTTTACAGTAATCTCTAGATTTTTGTGCTCTTCTGTCAATCTGTAGAGAATCTGAGTAATGGAGAGGTGTTTTATAAATTAAAAACCACCCAAGAGATTCTTTGATAAATTTGGCGATGTGTTTGAGCTTTACTGGATGCCAGAGACTGCCTGTGCATTAATCAGACATTATGTGTGGGACCTACCTGTTCGTTAAACCAGTGAGGAAGTGTAACCTTCTCAAAGTCAATATTATCCACTTTTAAGGTACTTGGCTTACTGTGTGGAGTAGTTGCTAAGTATTTTCTCTTTCTGTTGATAAGTAAACACTACCTGTGATGTTTGCTTACAAGGCTTTAAATAGTGACAGTATCATCCTGCCTAGGCAGGAGCAGCTGAAGTGTGTTAAAATGACAACAGGCAATTTGTAGTCAATACTTTCACTTTTGGACTGTGTTGATAGTGAAACCATCCCGTGGTACAGCCAGACAGCATGGTGCTGGGAAACCTTTGTGATGTAATATCAGTGAAGCTCCAGAGGTTGTTGGTGGAGTCCTTCCTCTTCTCTCATGAAGAGTGCTAGATGTGCTCTAGCAGTGCGCAAGATAGCTCTCCTCTCGCCTATCCTGCCTTGCGAATATGAAGATCATGCTGCTAATGCAGTGCTCCAGTCCTGCAAAAGGGACAACACAGTCTGGTTCCACTGTACAAGGGAGAATCAGGAACAATACTTGAGTGTGGGCTCAGCGTGTGTTTCTGTAATTTGTGCCTACTGATTTTTGTTGTTGTTTAGAATTGTGTGCCTTTAACATTGTGACACTATCGCAGGTTTGAGAGTCCTATCTGAGTGCTGGCACCCAGAGTGTGTTTGTGAGACTCTTTCTGTGAAAGTCACTGTCTTATACTTGGTCCTAGGTTGCTTTCTAAACCCTTCGCTGAAAAGCTTAGCTGTTTGAACAGGTGAAATACCAATTTGCTCCAGATCTAATCCTGGATAAATATTTAGGCAGTGCAGCATCAGGCACCCTTGACTTTTCTTGATCATTTCTTAGAACCAAATTTTGTATAGATTGGGCTATTCTAGTAAGCTTTTTTCCTGGTAGTAGGAACCTGACAAACTTTCAAAGTGATAACATTTGAATAACATGATTTTATGCATTCTTATCTACCAATTTCTTGCTTGCTACGCAAACCATAATTTAAATCATAATTTTTCTAGCATCTGTAATTGACTCTTGTACAAATATTTGTTTCAAAGCCTGCCTGAAATACTGCATACTTCAGTCAAAGTTGTTTATCATGTGGTACAAGATTCTCATTTTCTGGGAAGAAAATGCTGAGTCTGATTTAATGTGAACAACATGATTCATCCTACTTCATATAATTTTGCATGCTAGGTATTTTACTTGCTTAGTGCCTGATAGTTGTTAGAGGCAAATTGCTTCAGCAGAAAAATGTTTTTCCTCCCTTTGTTACAGCAGAGCTGCTATTTTTCAAGGAAACCATTCTTGACCAGACTACCTGTTATCAAGATGATAACCTTGCAGAGATGTTGTTCCATGAGATTGAAACTTCCTCTCTGCTTACACAAGATGTACATTTAAAAAGAACTATAAGCATACTTTAGTTTTTCCTCTTACAAAACCGTATTTAGGGATTTTTGGTAGTAAGAGAGAAAATCAGAAAAAGGAAAGGAAGTCCTGTTCTAGACGTGCGATAGCACAGACCTATTTTTCACTGAAATGGGAATGTGCAAGCAAAGCTACTTTGTCTTCTTGAAGGCTGAATGAGACATGCATTGTTTAGAAAAGGGAATGTCTAGTTGGGTAAGATGACATTCATTTTCAAATGAATTGGTATTGTAGTTTATTAATGCTTACCTCTGGATAAGACTGCCTGGTGTTACGGGGTGTTCCTTAGTTCTGACTGTGTCATATTCAGGGCAAGCGTCTGCACTTGGTGCTTTCCATTACACACATACTTGACGACTGTCTGATTCTTGACATTGTTCAAGAGACTTCTTATTCAGGATCTTTTTAAAAAGAAATGTTGATTGACAAACTTTTGAGCCCTACTGGAGAACTTCACACTGAGTTTTAATACACAAACATGCCGGTTTGGTGGCATAAGCAACAAATAAATCCCAGAATAGTTTTTCTGGACTTGACAAGTATGTTGCTAATGTCTTGTGACCTCAGATCGCAACATCAGAGGGCAGTCACTCTGTACAAGGCACTATATTTAGCATGTGCTACCTTCAGGCAAATATTGCACATATGGCAGAAGAGTCCAGTCTGTTTTGCTGTCTTGACTAGATGTAATGCTTGAGTTTTATACTCAACTGGAATGTATATGAAATTAAAGGATTTTTAAGGATTTAAGGGGTAAGTGTCAATGGCTGAATGATTCAGCCATGGCTTAAGCTTGGTGTGGGTTTTCTTATTGTTCTGAATTGAAATTTTTGTTGACTTTTCATGTGGTTTTGTTGGTTTTATTTTGCTGCTTAGTATATTCATTGCCTAAGATGATACCAGCTATGTGTTAGTTTCACGTAGGAAGAAGAAATGTCTAAAAGTGTATCTATCTTTGCTCATTGTAAACGAAAGTGAAGCTGGACCTTTGCCCTTTTTATTTAAACATACTGATAAGGATATTTTATAACAATAAAAGCTTGCAGTAGTTATTTTTACTTATTGGTTATGTAAGAAATGGAATTAGGTAAGTATGTCATCTACTATAGTGGTGCTCTTTGAGTGTGTAAAACACATGTAAAAGCCTGCTTTTACTCATGTAACTTAATTATTGTAAATTTACTATGATGCTAACAGATTTTCTGAGTTGCATATGTAAGGACAACTGATGCAGCTATCTAGCAGATTTTTAAAAGAACCTAATCAAATGCCTGTCTTTTACAGGAAAAACCTCTGATAGAGGTCCATTTCCATTGTATGGAAGAGATACGGGGTTACCAGGCTGTCAGGTAAGTATAGTGATGATTGAAAGCTAATGGAATAACCTGAACTAGAATTTAGTTTAGGCTACCTGAATGTGTCAGACTACCAAACATAATAAACAAGAATGTATTCCACAACCTGCAGAATAAAGTTTCTGGCCTCTCTGTGGTCAAATTGCCTTGCACTTAAATACATCTGCTTAGAGGAGATACTTTTGCTATGTATGAGTGGAACTGGTTCTGTAGCTCATGAGCATGAATTCCAATGGTATTAGTAAAAGGGAGATTGTTACTGATCTGAACATATTGAGCAATGTGCTCCAGGTGTGTCACATCTCTCCTACATATCATGATGAAATGAGTTTTCTTACCATTTGCAGTTATTTGTTCCTCTCTCTAAGTCTAGAAACAGAATTGCAGGCCAGTATTGACTGCACATCACAATTAGTCTGTGATACTCATATTTTTCACCTTTAGTTTGTAAAAAAAATTCCAGTAGTTGCCAAGTGTAGGTCCTTAGTTTATTGTTATTCCTAGTGGAGATAATGGGCATTTTTTAAGGAAGACAGTGTTACTAGGTTTTCAATTTTTAGCAATTGAGTTATCCAGTGTAATACTGTTTTATCTTGTAATTTAGATGATGTGTTTTTTAATTAAAGAAACTTTCTTCTTATGTCTTTAGATTTTCATTTTAGAGTGAAGATTTCTTCCGTGTTATTTCTAATGAGTCACATTAAGAGTACTCTGATCATTGTTTAAAAAGTCTGTTCTGAATGTACAGGAGATTCAAATGCTTAATGAACATTTGATTACATTCTGTATTTGTGGACAAAGATTTAAATCATTAATACTATATTTTTAATTCTAATAAATTAATTTATTGTGTTTGTTTTCTCAAAGAGGAATCTCTTAATTTTACTGTAAGTAGACTGTTTGCTTTGAACTGATATTTTCAGGAACATCTTTCTTCTTGAGGATAAAACTTAGCATATGAGTTTGACATCTTGGTTTTTAGTCTTTTAACTAGTAGTTTGGGAAGTGTGAACGGACAGCCCCATGTGGCAGTGCAGGCCTAACATTGCTTCCCCTGTTAAGAAAGGATCATTCTCACAGCCTTTACTACTTCTCTGCAACACAGATGTGAGGAACAAAGACCCATTTGTGGCCCATTTGTATTGGTGAGCTTTTGGTAAGACTCACAGAAAGCAGGATACCTCTTTAAGTTCAAGTTATGGGCTTCACGTTATTGCCAGTCTAGACAGTAAAACATTGTATTAATGTTATTATTATTGTTCAAATAACTTTGTAGTATATTTAAACATCATAACTTAAACTCGGCATTAGTTTGGAAGCAAATTAATTTCTACATTTCTCTTTCATTAGGTTAATGTTCTGTATTGCAAAATGAGTTTTTGTTAACTTTGCATAAAATTCTGTTTCGCTTTGCGGTAATGAGTGTAATTTCTGTTGTTTGGCTTCTCACTGAGGAGAATGCTTTTATATCTTCTAATTGTTTCTATCTAGTACCATTTAATATTAATCTTTTACATGTAGCTCTTTAAAAGCCAAAATCTCACACATATTTGTTTCTATTAACATCGCTTCTAATTCTCTTTATTCCTTTGATATGCTTCCTACTTATTCCTCACCCACAGTTTCTTATACATTTTCAGTAAATGGGAAAAATGTTATTGTAGGTAAATCTGGTTGGGTTTTTTTTGTTTTTGTTTTTTGTACTCAGGGTAATAGAAAATGAGCATAGAATTAACTTGCAGTTAAATTTTAATACAGTTTAGATTTATGTGGAAAGTTACAGTTTGTACCTTAATTTGGCAATATCAGTTAAATCTGACAGTGCTTGAAATAATTTGCTAACTTGAAATGGAGTGGGGGTTTTTATGTATTTTTCATAAATCCATAGCAATACCTGAAATACAGCTCAATGTAGCTACAATGCTTGGAAGCTATCATAGAGAAAAAGGTAGAAAGTGATCCTGAGAGATCATTTTGACAATCCAAATGGAGAATCAGCTGCATTGTCCCTCACGAATGCTCACACAGTCAGTTCTTAAAAACCTCTAGAGATGAAGGAGACTGCATGGCCACACTGGCTTTTGTTTTCCTTGAACATACTTACTCTTGAAAAGTTTCCCTGATGCCGTATCTAAATATCATTGAAATGAAGGCATCTAACTCTTGTCTTGCAGGCAGTGGACACAGAGAAGAATCTGTGCTTTTTAAGTCTGTAGAGGCTGGAAATCTGCTAGATGATTAAGATGATACACGGTCTTTAGAAAAGATAAGAGTTAAACAGAGTTAATTTTTACATTGGTGTGTATGATGAGGTATATATTTAGTAGCAGATACGTATCAGGGTCTATCTCATATTGAAGTTTTCCAGTAGGTTCACAACCCTAGAGAATTCCAGTGTTTCGAACTAGGTAAAGTACATCATCTAAGGCTTTACCATTATGGCAAAAAGACATTTCCTGGATCTTTCTGACAATACTGTTGGTTTTTTCTGCCATATGGAATTTGTCCTTTTCATTAAAAAAAGAAAAAATCCAGTCTTTGATATTTGTCCTGACTGGTCATGGTCTAAAATTTTCCAGTGCCTTATGGTAATGCTGGCCAGCTTGTCATTCCTCAGCCTATATTTTTCAGTTTACAGGTTCCATATGCAAAAATGTATTTACTTTTTAACGTATTGCTTCTACCTTCTCTGAATTTGTCAATGCAGTTTTGAATTCCAGGCTTGCAATGCATTTGTAGATCCTTCTGGGTTGCTTTGTGAATTTAGTAAATGTGGTCTTCATTTTTCATCCAAGTTACTAATTAAGAGGTGGAATGATGCCCAAAACAGACGCCTGCAAATTCTCAGTTAATACATTCACCCAGTGTTGATCATGAACTTTTAGTTACTAGTTTTTAAATAGCTATGCTCTGTATTCAGCAGTAGTTTTAGTTGTCCTTGGTTCCTTAATTCACCTGTGAAATGTGAAAGTAGTAAAAGCCTTATTAAAGCACCTATTATGCTGAGAAGGGAGTGAATTGGTTTTACAGAGTTTACTCCAGCTGAATCTGTGTAACTTCTTTGTTATCTTCTGGCATTTTCAGTCTATTTTTTCTGGTATATTCTTCCAAAAAAAAAAAGTAATTTAAATGGTGAGGATTTGCAAGTCACTGTATTTGTTCCTACTTGTGAAACAAACCAACCAATCCCATTCTTTTTTAGTCTCTACACTCTCTCAGAACCATGAGTTTTCAAAGGCAGTGGCTAAGGTTTCTGAAATTGCAAGAATGGCAAGAGACAGTCTTCTGGGTGTCTTATAGGGTACAGCTGAATCGAAAATACCTAACTTCTCCAAACACTTTCTAACCTGTTCTTCTCTTACCAAAGTTCTTTCCATATGTCACTGGTGTAAATGGTATTAATAACCTGGTGTGGATGTGTGATGAGACTTCAGAAACTGAATGCATGACTCCCATTTCCAGTATCATCAAAAGGGCACCCAGCTGTCACTGAACATTGCTTTGACAGGTCTGAGCTTGAAGAAAGCCAGGAATCTGCACTATTTTCAAAGTGAAATTGAGATAAATGTGCAGTACATGTGTAGCTGTTAGACTAATTCTTCTAATTGTTTCTGTGGGCAGTCACAGAAGCTAACTTTATCCCCATGAGCCTGTAAGTGCCCTGGCTAATTGGTGGAGAGAGGCGGGGGATGGTCCTTTCACCTAACAGTGCCTGCTCTCATCTGCCTGGCAAAGTCTGTCTCTCCCCAGTAGCATCACTAGGCTGAAGATAGTAAATTATTTGTGACTGTCCCCTTGTTCTGTTTTAATTCTAAACAATCATGCATGAAAAACAGACATTATGGATTTTTTGACATGTTGAGATAACACATTTACCCTCCCTTCATATAATAATTTCAAGTCCACGTACTATCCCATGTGCAAGAAAGGAGAAAAATCAAGTGCTAAATGTAGTAGATGTTAAGTGAGAACTGAAGAGGCATTCATCAGGTTTTGTTTAAAGTGTAACCTTTCTATAATAAGACAAATCTTAATTTGTTTTATTTTTCTCTCTAATTTGTTCACTCTATATGATGATGGGACACTTTAAATGTTATAAAACACACTTAGAAAAAAGCTTAATTGGTCATAAATCTAGAATACATGAATGCTGGAAGGAGCTATGAATTATATTTACTAAATACACCTCACTTTAGTCTATGTGAAATTACATATAAAATATTGCATAAGATATACTACTGTATAGCACATGATCTGTACGTATGCTATTACATATTTCATGCAGTATGAAATATACAGTACTACATAGAATGTGTATGAAGAATTGATAGGATACTGTGTATACTATATACATTTTATTTAGTAACGGCATTTGGATTTTAACTCATTGCTGCTGCTATTGCTCTAGAAGTTTTGTGCATATTGGTAATAAATAAGGCTGCTTCAGAATCTTTAGTTTTAGATGAAGAAGAAAAATCTGATAGAAAGCTGGCCCATCAATGTTTCCAATAAATACTGCTCCACTATTTTCCCTTCAATAGCCATCAACTCTGCTATTGCTGTGAAGCTAATGTGAGGTGACTCATTTAGCAGCAGATTATTGCATCATTGCAACATGATGTAAGGCACGTCAGGCATTATTAAATGAGCCTGAATTGTGCAGTATGACAGTAACGTTATGCACATTAGCACCATACTTAGTGCTGCTTATGGGAATATACTTCAAGTAAACATATTGAGATATAATTTCAGACGACTTTTCAGGATTTACCAGTTTCTTCTTTATCAGAAAAAAAAAAGTATGCTTCACTGGAATATTAAGAGAAATGTAGCCTTTGTACATCTTCAGAGCATGCTTTGTGTTTCATTACTTTCAGTGTATGCTGTAACTTAGGTAGTACCTTGGAGAAGAAATTAGCTGACTTTGCACTGATCGTTAAAGTACGTTGGTACAAACTCATCAGTCTTCTACCTTTCTATGATTCAACATAGAA